CATCATCATCACTACTAGCAGGATCTTTAAGGGAATCATCGACATATTAGATTCCCCAATCATCCTCCTTGTACTATTATCTTGTTTTCATTATTTCTCATCATGCTTTATCTGTAAGTGTGCCTTCTTCTTACCCTTAAGCTTCCGTGTAAAGGTAGAAAAAGAAAACAAAAAACCCTATCGAATGTTCTCTGTTATGGAAAAAGTCTCCCCCATAGCTGTGGCCTGTAATAGAATAATTGGAAAAGGCAACACAAATAAAGAAGACAAAGCCTTAAGGCATAAACCGTAGTAAGTCAAGGCATATGGCTCACAAGACACTTATGGATGATTCCTGAGGTGTTAGATGAAAGCCTCACGTGAGGCTGGACTCAGGACGTAAGGCTCAAACAACTTTTTTTAACATTATTTTGTGTTGGAAATGAACAAAATTACTTTATTAATGTCTCTTTTCAGACCAAGACTCTGTTCGTTTACTTGCTGTTGAGGGCTGCGCTGCTCTTGGCAAGTTGTTGGAGCCTCAAGATTGTGTTTCACATATTCTCCCCGTAATTGTCAACTTTTCACAGGTACAGTTCGAAATGCATTTTACGTTGTTCTTTTCTGTTGTCTTTGCCTTACCTGCTTTTTAAGTCTCTTCTCGGTAGCCATTTTTCCTAGATTGTCATAGTTGCTTTATAAAGTTCATATTTTTAGGCATTTGCGTGGATAATCACCATTGTCAATGCAGCAATTTTTTTCTTGGAAATTTTTTTATGTTCTTATGCTTTGTAGTTGTACAGTTATGGTCTATTAAAATGCTTTTTATTGTGGTCTACTGTCTTCGCCTTAACGTTGCATATTCATATTTGCGATAAATTTTTTGTGTCATGCAAGGTTGCTATAGTATCATATTGGGATGTCTTAACATTGAATGCTTATGGTCATCTCAGCCAGTTGTTGTAGCTTAATGTTTTTTGATCCTAACATCATATATATCAGGATAAGTCTTGGCGTGTACGTTATATGGTTGCTAACCAGTTGTACGAGCTTTGTGAAGCGGTGGGACCTGAGCCTACTAGGTAATTATTTAATCTATCACTTCTATTTTTCCATGTTCTGCATCCTGTGATATTGTATCATATGTGAATTTTTGTGGTTCCACCGTTGGTTAATGAAGTTATTGATGTCGCATGGCAAAATAATTATGCTATGCTATTAAGAAACAATTCATTGTTGCTCACTTTTTTGTTTCGTCTTCAGTAATCTTACAGAGAATGGGCAGATAACTGGGAAGTGGATGGTCAGGACAATTGACAGGAAAAATGTCAAATAATAATTAAGACCTCACTTGCTAATTATATGCCAAAATGTGTACTTGTCAAATTGTGTGTAACACATGGTTATTATTTGAATAGTACAGAAGCACGTCTCTGTACTTTTTATAAGAAGTTATGAACTTAATTATTTTTTTTAGTTGCGATGGGAAAGCACTTCCTAGACTTGTCAATAGAAATCTTATGTATCATTTAGTTGGATTTTTGTCAAGTTTTACTTTCAAATATAACATTGATGTTTTCCTTTGTTGTGGAAGAATTTTGTATCTGAACCCTTCTCATTTTGTTTAAAGTCGAGCTGTAGAGAAGTTAAAAGTGTGTGACAGACTGTCAGGTAACTGAAAAAATAAATACTTCAGTATGGAAACTGTCATTGAAATGTTGTACATGTCCAAGAATGTTTAGTGTGTGTGACTCCTACTCCTTGGTGGTGGTGGTGTCCATACATTAGTTGTCCTTGTATCTTGAAGTATGTGATTATTGTGGTTATATGTTTCAAGGACGGATTTGGTTCCTGCTTATGTGCGGCTACTTCGAGATAATGAGGCAGAAGTACGTATAGCAGCTGCTGGTAAAGTCACCAAATTCTGTCGGATTCTTAACCCTGAACTTGCTATTCAGCATATTCTTCCATGTGTGAAGGTACACACCATGGCTCTTACCCAGTTGTATTTACCTATTAGTTAATGAATATATTGTTGACATGATGCTACGTATCCTTCCACTATCACATAATTGACAGTGACATCTGGCAGGAATTATCATCAGATTCATCGCAACATGTTAGGTCTGCTTTGGCTTCCGTTATAATGGGAATGGCCCCTGTATTAGGAAAGGTAAAAGCATTTATCTAAACTTCTAAGTGGAGGGAAGTTCTTATTTATTATAGCACGAGGAGTACCTAATTCACTTTGTCAAAACTTATTACAGTAAGCATTTTGATCTAAACTTGGTTAGCTGCTAGAACCTAAAGCTGTTGCCTTCATATAGTTTTAAACTTTTGGTTCCATGTCTACACGCATTGTTCATTAAGCTTTCATTAGTTGCAATCTTGGCATACAGCTATCTATCTAGATATGGTTTCACTGCTGCTTACTATACTTTCTTTCTATGAACAGTTTATGCATCTCATTTCATCTTTTTTTTTTTCTGGTTTAAACCTAGACTGTATGTTATCTATGTATCTTGTGGAGACCATATACTTCCACCATTATAATGGTTGTTAAGCCCACCAATTATCGGCTTCATAGTGGACTTTCTTCAGGATGTGTATGCTCAGTATCATCTAAGTGTAGAAAAAGGAAAATTGTTGGCACTTAAATTGTTCTTAGATGTTGTTAACAAAAAAGAAAAGGTGAAATAATCTTGGATGCTCTCCATCTGTTCTTAGATTATTGCTGGGTCCAACTGAATATTTCACTCCAGCGTATTTTCCCTGGGATGGTATTTGTTTGGTACAAGTATAACCACAGTGCAATCAAGTTTTAATCTGTGATTCCATTGACTTGTTGTGTACTTCTGTTCTACCTGTTTGGCATTTTTCCATCCATATTTCCTCATTTTTTCCTATATAAATAAATCTACAATTGATAATCTACATCCTTCCTAGCACCCCAGTCATGTTGCAGTTCGGTTTTTTACCATGGGGTTTTCTGGTTGTTGCAGGATGCAACAATTGAACAACTTCTTCCAATATTTCTCTCCCTTTTGAAGGATGAATTTCCAGATGTACGCCTTAATATTATTAGCAAGCTCGATCAAGTCAATCAGGTTTGCGGTCTTTTTTAGGGGTCAAACTGTGTTCTACACAACTGTTTGTGGTTGATTACTGTGTCAACCTTTTATAACCGGGTTCAACTCCTAGTATTTATTCCTCTTTTCTGTTCATGCAGGTTATTGGAATTGATTTACTTTCTCAATCTTTATTACCAGCTATTGTTGAGCTGGCAGAAGACAGGCATTGGAGGGTTCGACTTGCCATCATAGAATACATACCTTTATTGGCTAGTCAATTGGGTGTAGGATTTTTCGATGATAAGCTGGGTGCCCTTTGCATGCAGTGGCTACGAGACAAGGTTAGTTATCTGCTCATGATTTTGTTATCAGTTGGAATGTAGAATCATAACATGCTCCACAATTTTGTTTTTTCGTCTTGAGCTGAATGCTCTGATGTTACGGAAGCTGTCAGTTTGAAATTTGAAGTCTACCTAGATCTTTATGTGTTGACCTTTTCCTTGTTTATCTTCGGATGAGTCAAGTGAAAATTATCGATAAAATGCAAAAAGAGGTTAAAGTTTGATAAAATTTTCCCTCTTCCTTTCCTTTGTCTCCTCTATTCTCCATCTCAGCCATTTATCTTTATTTCCTTTGTCGTTTTTGCTCTCATGTACAGATATATTCTTCCTTCCATCCTTCCTGCTATTTGGCCCATGTCATTGATGATGCACATTGGGGAAAATATTTTCGAATAGAAATGAATTACTTTAACAATTCTGTGATTCAATTCAGGTTTACTCTATCCGAGATGCTGCGGCTAATAATTTGAAACGCCTTGCAGAAGAATTTGGTCCAGATTGGGCAATGCAGCACATAGTTCCTCAGGTTTGTGGATGCTATCAGAAAATGCTTTCCTTTTTGTTACGCTTAGATTGGAAATACTTGCATTTCAAATAACTTCTCTGCTGATATGGCTACCAATAAATTTTTCCTGGTAAATGGAATCAAAGTCGACTTCTTGATAACAATTTTCAGCTTCTTAGTTGATTAGAGCTTGGAGTGGATTTTTTTCTTTGATTTGGATCTTTTAACAGCAATTGAATGGACTAATTATTAATAGTTTTATCATGAGATAATGCAGTCTCAGTCTAGAATATAGAATTCTTTGGGAAAGAAAACAGATACGTCTGCCTTCTGAAACGGTCTCGTGCATGCAGGTTTTGGACATGGTAAACAATCCACATTATTTGTACAGGATGACTGTTCTTTGTGCAATTTCATTACTTGCTCCTGTCATGGGTTCAGAGATAACTTGTTCGAAATTGTTGCCTGTGATTGTTACTGCATCCAAGGACAGGTAATTGTGTTTCCAGGAAGTTCATTTATGAGTTATTGGTTGTTGCACAATTTTTTTTCTTTTTCTGAAACTGATAAGCTTAGTTATGTTACAGAGTGCCGAATATTAAGTTTAATGTGGCGAAGGTGTTGCAGTCCATCATTCCCATTGTTGATCAATCAGTTAGTTCACTTTCTCCTATTGCTCACGTTTTTTCATAAATTAAAAAAAGGAAAAAAAAAGAAATATAATAAATCAATTTCGCCTGTTTCTCTTTGCTTGATATATAACTAATATTCATTTTACCATTTTGATTTAAAACTTGCGTTTGTCTAAGCTCTTTCCAACCATCTGAAATTCTGTATTGCTCTGTAGGTTGTGGAGAAAACCATCCGCCCCTCTTTGGTAGAGCTTGCTGAGGATCCTGATGTTGATGTCCGGTTTTTCGCCAGTCAAGCACTTCAGTCAATAGATCATGTCATGATGTCGAGCTAGAAGAGTTTTGTGGTTTAGATTTCAGTGCTAAAGTTTTCTATTTATATGCATTTTAGAATAATTGCTATTTTGCTTTGGAGTTGTAATTTTTTACATTACTCATTTCGTCTGTCCTTTAGTTAAGTGGTAATATATTGTTATTAGTGCACGTTGGTGATTCTTGGTTGCTTGTGAACTTGTATTGTCTTGTAAAATGGTCTAGAACGTTAATACATATGATTCAGACTTTCTCATGGCAATTATCATTGTTATAATGGTTCCCTCTTGAAGTTCATTCTACAAGGCCAATCACCATTTCATAACTATTCTGGAAGAGAGCAATAGCTTGCTACAAAGTCAAGTAGGGCAAGCTTGCTTCCGGATGGGCACCCATCCATTTTTAATTCCCTTGTGGAAAAAATACATATATACAGGATTTCCACTTCTAACAAATTTACAAAAAATACACAATTTAAAATATTCATCACACTCTATATTCATTCCTATTAAAATATTAAAATTTTAAAGAATTAATATTTTCATAAACATCAGATTTTAATATTGTCCTTATTCAATTCATTTATTTAAATACTATAGATCCATACTAATTTTATATATTCATCTCACTTTAAATATATCCCTAATACAATTTCAACATTTTAAAAATTCACTATATTCTTCTAAACTTTAACGTAAAGTAACCGAGAAGATAAAACGTAATACTAAAATTTATAATAAAACGTAATCCTTACTTTTTCAAATTATTCTTCATATATTGTTATTTCTTCATGTATTTCCCCTAATGGTAATCATTCCATTGTTGTTTTGATTTTAGTTGAAGATGATATTTTATGATTATTAGAGTTTTATGATTTTAGTTAAAGAGGATATTTTATAACTATTAAAGTTTTAGTCAAACATAAATTCTAAAAGAATATAAAAAAGTTTAAAAGAATTTAATGACTTTCATATCGCCTAGCAGCACGACACTTGTATTCCTCTCTCACAACCCCATTTTCACAGTTTAGGCTGCTCCCATTTGCTCTTATGAACCAACGAAATATCGATGGTTTGATACATAATAAATTGTCCATTGTTTTTTAACGTATAGGTTCGATAATCAATATTCCCCTTTTCTTCAATTTTGGAAGAGCTCCATGGCTCTAGCCGGCAAGGGACAAGGATAGTCAAACTCTGAATTCAACATTAAAAAAATTGTTCGGATGTTCAAAAATAAATGGTGGTTATGGATTCAAGAATAGAGAAATATCAGCGTTCCCAAATTTTCAAATAATGAACAAGGGAAACAAGTCAATTTTCTTGTAGAAAAATCAAGGCTCTTAGCTATGCTCAATCAGTGTAAGACTCTGAAAGAATTAAAAGAACTTTCGGAAAAAATTGCTTCTTTGACTGAAGCCTCTTCAAAGAAATCAATATCAAACCAAGAAAATTCATTTCAATCAGATTCAGAAACAGACTATACTCAAATCAGCGTAGATATGTACTGTGGGCTAAATATTGAGAGCTAGTTGCTCAAGAAACTCAAAAGAACTCAAAATGACTATATGAATTCAGTTATTTAGATGAATATTAAAGATATAAGGTTCAAAGATCAAGACAAGCTCTTTTTCAAATGTGCTTGCTACCTCAAAAATTATTCCTATTAGCACTACTGTCAATAAAAAATGGACAAATTTCAAAAGAAGAAACTTTAAAAAAGGAATCTTGTCAGCCTTATTATAGTATCTATTGCAAAGACGATACCATCATTCAAAAAGGAATGGACGTGGCAGACAAAGACAAACAACAAGGACTTGCATTTGAGTTCCCATGTTGTCCTTCAAGATTCTTTAAAATAATTTAAGATCTAAACTTCAAATATAGAAGAAGATCAAGCCTCAAGACTTTGGGAAGAGTTTTTTTAACGGGAGAAAAATCTTCAAGAAAGCTTAGATTTCCTTGCATTCTAAAGTTTTCTTTATATTTCAAATTTCTTTCAAAATTGTAATATTTTAAAAGTGTAATCTTTAAATTTTTGTGAGGCCACATTCACAAAGATATAAATGTAGATCACAATCAGAAATTTAGTTGCAAATTACACATTTTTATAGGCCATAAATTATTTATCTATCACAAATTATCAAATTATTTAGTTAAAAGAAGAAAAGAATTTAAAGAGCAGAGAGACAAAAGAAGAATTTGCTGTGTAGAGAGAGAGAGATACTAGATAAATGATAACAAAGTGAAAGAATAAATAGTAGAGAGAGTGTGTGATTTATTAATAATATTATTAATATTATAAAGTTGAATCATGATTTGATTTTTGAATAAATAAGTTTTAAATCTGATTTTTGAAGTTGAAAGTTGAAAATCATGTATTTGTGTAATTTCCTCTTCTTTTATTAAACTTTAATAGGCCCGTGGGCAACTTTGGATCTAGTTCGTTTCGTCCATGACACATGCCGTGTCCCTTATATAGGATCTGTCATTTTATGAACCAAACCAATGGGCAACCTAAGCATATTGGCGCCTTTATTTATAGTTTAATAGTAACCAAAAAATACAATATAAACATGAATTTTATAGGCGATTAATGATATTGCTAATGATGCTATCGAAAATCTGCACTTGTGAATTTTCAAACCTTCTGACTGATAATAAGCACGAAACAAATTCTCCAAGACCTGGAATAAAGGAATTGAGGTATGGCCTCATCGCTCCTCCGATACTTAAGTTAGTGAAAAAAAAATATAAAATTGAGACTATAAATTGAAATAATGTACTGCGTACCTCAATGATAATGAGCAATGGCTTTGTATTTATAGAGCTAGACATTTCAATTCCAATAGGATTGGATCACTTGAATGCCTTATCTATTTATGAGTCTTGGGGAATGTAAGAGTCTTGCAAGAGTTGGGTGTCATAATTCTAAAGAATTGTTATAGTTGGATAATGTTGGGACTGCGGTGGTAAAATCCTTCTAGATTAAGTAAAAAAATAGGAAAAAGAGAATAAGTAGTGTTAGGTAACACTTTATAGGATCTCAAACCCAAGCTAAAAACCCGACATGATCAGCTCGAGGCTGGCTCAACCTGTTTATAAGTTGTTAAGTCCTTGAGCTCGAGGTTACAACCCTCGTGCTTGACACATATCATTGACCTTCGTGCATCCATGTTCAAGGTTCGGGGGTAGGCTGAGCCTACTCGAAGTTCGAAGATGAGATGTACCATTTGATCGAGATTATAAAAAAAAGATGAGATGTAACCTCGACTTTGACTTCTTCATCAGCCACAAGATCTTAGACTCAGAAAGCTCGAGGTCACCAACAACCTCGGGAATAGTCTTTAAATCCTCGGGCTAGGAGTTGGAAGCTCCATCTACATACAAGTTCGAAATATCCATGACAATGGTCAAGCTTGTATCCCTTGCCCTCGAGGCCTTCGTGTGAGTTCTACCATGAAGTCAGTCAAACTCTGAATTTAATTGAAGATCAAGGTTTGAACTTTATGTCAATTTACCATGTTCGATTGCCCATTTTAGCAACTTTCCTAAGATGCTGGGCCTTTATAGTATGTGTTTGAGTGGTTAATTTGTGAGCATGATGGTGGGATGATATTGGAAGTACTGTTGTAATTCTTGTGCTGTCATGACAAAGGCAAGCGCGGGTTGTTCGACAATGGTGTACCTAGATTCGACATTGAACAATACCTTGTTCACTTAGTAGATTGATTGTTGGACCTTATTCATCTCCTTTAAAAGCACAACACTCACTATACATTCAGAAAAGACCAAGTACAAAAACAAAGTATCACCAAGATCGAGTTTTGGAAGGACTGGAGACTGCCAATGTTCGCTTGAGCTCTTTGAAGGCTCGTTCACAGTTGCCATTCCAGTTAAAATATTGATTTTCCCTGAAAACCTTGAAGAATGAAAAATACTTATCTACGGCTCGGGACATGAACTTATTCAAGGAGACAACTCGACTTGTCGATTCTCATACTTCTTTCTTGTTTCCGAGCGATTCTATGGTTGCTAGAGTGTGTATCTTATATGGATTGACTTCTATTCCCCTATGTGTAATCATGAAGCCCAAGAACTTGTCCGAAACTATCCCAAATGCACACTTTTGCTGGATTTAACTTTATTTAATATTTCCGAAGTGTGGCAAATACCTTATCGAGGTTAGGAATATGCTTATCAACTTGTTTGCTTTTGACTATATTATCATCGACATAGGCCTCAAAGTTTTTCCGATTAGATTAGAGAAATTTTTGTTGATGAGTCTTTGACATGTTGCCTCTGCATTCTTCAACTTGAATGTCATGACCCTGTAGCACTATATGGTTGAGTCGGTTAGAATGATGTTTTTTCTAGTCTTTCTCGTCCATAAGAATTTGATGATAGCCAGAGAATGCATCAAGAAAAATGTATGATTTAAGTCCTGACATAGTATCTACGAGGTTGTCAATCCAAGGTAGGTGATAACTGTCATTTGGATATGCTTTATTAAGGTATGTGTAATCAATACAGACTCGTTGTTTATCGTTGGCCTTTTCTATGAGAGCAACGTTGGTGAGCCAATCGGGGACTGAACTTTTAAAATGAGCATCGACGGGTTTAGCAATCTCCTCTTGTATGACATCTTGACATTCTGGTGCAAATTGTCATCTTCTACTTAACAGGTCTAACCCTCAGGCTAATATTGAGTCTGTGCACTGCCACATCGATGTTTATCCTTGGCATTCCTCTACCTTCCATGCAAACACATTTATATTGTATGAAAGGCGGTTGATGAGAATGGCCATGAGAGTGCAATCAAGATTCCACCCATAGTCACCACATTGTCGAGCTCGACCTTGACGAGCTCTTCAATTGAAGCGAGTCTCCCCCAGTGGTTGAGGTTGGGATCGGATGTCGATACATGCATAACGCCAATGCTCAATCCCTAAACACTAGTTACATAACATCATCTGGTTACAAACCCATCTGAACATTCATGCATCTTCAATACAGGAGTTGAG